ACTTTGGGCACTCTCTAGACTGCAGCTGTAGCTCTGCACAGCAAAGTCGCTGTGATTGAAAGTGCCGTCTGGCACTAAATCAGGGTATGCCCACAATAAAGAAACAACGCTTGATGGAAGCTCTGTTACCAGAGGTATTTAAAGCCAGACATGACCCTGCACTAAGTTGTGTGTTCCAAAGAACAATCCTAGATTTAAAATAAATCCCAGCTTTAAAAAAGTCCTCAGGCTTAAAAAAAACAAATTGAAGAAAAGCCCCTGAAAATTTACTGGCACAGAGACAGAAAGGCTTGCCTGCCTTGTAGTATGCTGATAAGACAAAAAGTTTAAACTGTCCGTATTTGATTCTACAGCTGAAAAAATAAGCTCAGAAGTTTGTGCCTTTCTTAATTTCTTGGGCTCACACGTTGCATGGTGTTACCAGAGTCCATGTGTCCCAGTGAAAGGTGTAGGTAGGCACCAGCATCACCTCCAGCGTGGCTCCAACCCTCCTGTGTTGCAGTCCCACACAGCTCACTGAAGTCCCCGGAGCCGTTTGCCGCTGCCCCCGCGGCCGGGCTGGCTCTGTGGTTCGGGGCCGAGGCTCTGAGCACGGCCCCAGCCGGGCCCTGTGTCCCCGACTGACTGCAGCAAGTGGGAATTTGCTCCTGACTTAGTGAGACCTGAGCTGAACATGGTACATGTAATCTGTTTTCAAATATTTGGCTGTAGGAGTGCGTTGTTCCTGTAACAGAGCTGTTTTGAACACAGCTCAGAAGGCATTTCTGCGGACTGCAACTTTCGAGCTGGACCTTTGGGAATTCGCTTTTCCCGCTTTGCCAAGTTTGCCACATTCCTTGGACCACCAGGTCAGGCAGGAACATTCCCAGTTCTTGCTATGTCCCCTTTGAAATAGTAACTTTCTAGAGCATAAGCTGGCTTTTGCAGAAAAAATGAGAGTCATTAACAACATTAACTTTAGTGGCAATTAGAATAACATATTCTTGACTGTTGGCCAGGTTGTTTCGGTCATAGGGTAAAATATTCTTCTTGTGTAAAGCCCTGCAGGCACTGTGCTGGGGGGG